CTCACTGCTTGAATACGAAAAGAATTCTCTCTTAACATACAACATCAAACCCGGCAGGAATTGAACTTTGGTCACATTGGTGAGAGGCAAGCGCATTGTTTATCAAGCCTAGGATCAGTAACTATTTACCCTTTTGACAGAAGAAGTCTTGTCATAAGCAAGTACCACATTTGGGTTGGAAACATGGAAGGAAATATCATCAGGTGAGAATGATATTGCTGTGCCTTCAAACGTCCTGCAGTCATCAGTAGTGCTGTAAATCATCTTATTCTTTCTGTCTGTAAAAATGTACTGGAAAAAAATACAGGAAAAGTCAAGGACCATGTAAACCATATAGCAGAGTTTGGTTTTGTTGAGCGCATTCAATTATTGTGAGCTACCTTTGCCTTTGAATAAGCTAGGTCCTTTTTTGACGAGATTAGAAAAATATAAATGTACATTGTAACTACTACAGTAGAAAGATGGCAATCATGGTAAGCGATCAAGAGCTGTTAATTTTTTAATTAATTGTCATTGATCGATCATGCATAGGTCAATGGTCAATGGTCTCATTGAAAATGTTTTCAATCAGTTAAGCATATTATACCACTTGGCCATAGCTGATAGATTAGCACTTGCAAGCTGCCAGAATGGCATCACATATTAATAATAATAATAATAATAATAATAATAATAAATAATTTTAACAATCAGTAGCTTTAATAATGCATTATCATAGGATCCTAGCCAAAGAATGTAATCAAAATCTATATATAAAATATCTAAATATATTTGTAACAAATTAATTAATAATAATAACAATAATAATAATAATGATAATAATAAACTTTATTAAGCCCTTTGCATAAAATTTCAAAGTGCTTTACAGATATAATTTATATAATAATAATAAATAATAAAAATAATTTATAGAATATACAATGTACAAATACATAAAAGCAATAATAATCATAACAAATAAGTCTATAATTCTATAATATATATGATTTAATAATAGTAATCATATTAAACTAATAAGAATATGCCTCATTAATATATAAATGTGTTTTGAACTTCTTTTTAAAACTTCTTTTTAAAACATACCTTTGTTTTATCAATGGGAGAAGAAAAGAACAAATTTATCTGCGCTGGAGCACCATTAGAAAGGTTAAAATAATGAGTATAATTTTCAAAGGTCTGAGCATAGTCTCTGGAGATCCATACAGCACTGGTGCTTCTTGAGGTCATGACTGGATCAACAGTTAGTACAACAACTGTTTCATGGTTATCGCCAGACCAGTGTACATACGCCTTGTGATGACTGTCATTTAAATTCATCTGAAAAATATATACAAAAATACAGTTTGTGTTTAAACTGGGGTAAATCTTTTATACAGTATTCAAGCAATTATTAGCTACATAGAATGTACTTTATGCCAATACTCAGGGCTTACAATAACTGCCAGTCTTTGGACAATGTCCAACCAGAACTGGGACTTGTCCAGTCAAATGTTAGCCTTGCCGGTCATTTTGACCAGTTACATTTAAGCCGCATCTACACAAGCAATTGACAAGGAAAAGCTGGCATGCTATTTTTTCCTTGTCAAGGAAAAATTGTCAAGGTTGAAATTTGATGTAAATGGACAACAAGGAAAATGTGGCAAGGAATATTAATGAGTTTAGTTCTCAGTCTTTCTGCGYTCCTGTCAAAATAGAAAATGACGGCTAAAGCAAAAATAGGTTGAAGTGATTTTTAATTTTTGCTCCACAAGAGACTGGAAAAAATTTTTTGTTAATACTCTGCTGATTAAAAGGCATTGCAGGCACAGCCAAAACTTGTCAAGTAAAACTTGTTCATCATCTACACATCTAACTTCCTGTCTGTCCTTAGTGCCTTGGTGGATGGGGCTGTACCTCGTCAAAGCAAGTCAATTTATAAATTATATATTCAACTAATACATGCTTACATGTATATCAGTCTATAGAGGATGTATTGCATGGTGGCATGAAGATATGAAGTTTATTTTCAAAGGGTGAAAATATTTCATGAGGGAGCACAGCCAACAAGTGAAATATTTTTCAGCATAAAAATAAAATAAACTTCATATCTTCAAGCCAACATGTTATTTTCTCATATAGACATATTTACAAACAAAAACTTGTTGAAAACATTAGAAAAGATGTCATCGATATCTTCACTAGTGAGGATATGGAAAATATTTTACTGAGGTCCTAGATGTACATAGTAGGTATAAAAGATATTAGTGAAGTTTTCCCCAAAAAAACCACTTATATCTATATAATAAAACAGTAATGATAAAGAGGTAAATTATACACCTTGAAAAGATGAAAAACTTACTAGCATGAAGGACTAGCATCCAAAACACCTTTTTTTTTCATCTTTTCACGGTGTATAATTTACCTTTTTATCATTACTGTTTCATTAGAAACACCGATGCAGCTCACACTAGTTTTTAGCTAGCTATCTCTTCTACATAATAAACATGCAGTATACATAATACTTTATAAATGTTTGTCTCTATCTTAGAATCTTCGAAAGACTTTTAAAGACGTTTCGACTTATCTTCTTCAGTGTACTGTTGATGTATTGGCCATGCTCTTTTAAAAGTTGGTGTTAGCACAGCTAGCCCACATGCTAGAGTCCTTTATTATAGAGTTCTATGTATAATTTCTGGAAGCTTGTCTCTCATTAAGAACCAAGCTTCCAAACATAGTCTTTTGCCCTGTTCCATTTGAGTATACATATATGGAAGCTTACATAGTATGGAAACCATAGTATGCATACATAATCACTGCAATTTTCATAAACATGCAAACTCTGTGCCTCCGAGTTGCAAACTGATTTTTTTTGCCGCTCCAGTCAAAACTATGAAAGGTTCCAACTGATTAGGTTTGATTGCCGGCAGCGAAAAACCAAATTTCAGGGTGCAGATCGCAGACACAGAGTTCGCACGTTTATGAAAATCGTAATAATGATAATTTTAAACATTCTAACTTTAATTTTTATTATAAATAATAATGTATCTACTTTTCTCCGCTTCTTCGTGAAGAACAATGTGAAGAACAATAAACTGAAAATCATAAATAAATTCTGAAGACCAGACTTGGATCTGAAGGATTAGATATAAAGTAGAAAATATGATCTCTAATGATTACGGAAGTAAATCTGCCTTTGCTGAAAGTAAAAATTACCTGAACTCCACGAAACGAAAGAGATATTTAAAAAAGTTGGAAAAAAGTGAATGAAGCTGCAAGGTTTATTATCGATGCGTCATTTAAAGGTTGGATTAACACCATACATGTAGTTACATAAGAGAATGAGTGTGAAGTTTATTAATCAGCAGAAATACGAACGAAGAGAACGACATTCAACACAGCTAGAAAATTCTTCAATAAATACACTTATTTCAGTTTTTTGTCGTATTTAATGTAGTTATAAAGATATTTCAACTTACCTCGACTATTGTTGGGCTAAAGTCTGGGTTAATAGAGCGCCTAGAACGCTTTTCAAACTTCTTGAAGATCTTGTCAACATCAAGATCGCGGTTTTTCAGTGTCGAAGGAGTCGGTTCATAGTTGATCTCATGCAACTTAGACGGCGCTCCAGGCAATGGTTGTCGACGTTGAACAAGCACTGAGGGATAATATCCTGCAAAACCTTGATCTGCAGAGACAGTATGTAGGATAAAGAGAGCTAGAAAAGAGAATATTCTGCTTCCTTGCTCCATTTTGACACAGTCGTTTTGTTGTCTTAGCATGTCCTGGTACCTCCAGCAAGTCACGTGATGACGTGACGTAAGAAACATCATAAGAACTGCGTTTTAGGCCCCGTCAATCCGAATTTTTATTTATTCGGTTCCATTTCGAAAATTCGTTTTCGGTGAAGAATTGTTCCGGATTCGCCCGGACTAGTGTGGACGGGGCCTAAAACTATGATCGTGTATAGATTGAAAGTACACAAAAACACTTTTATGCCTTACTTTGATGTAAGACACATTGAAGTATCGGGTATTAAAAATTATATTTATTTATGTATTTTCAATATTTTTTGACCTAAAAAATTCTCTAATAAATATTTTTTTAAATATCATTGCGCTCAAATTATTTTTTTAATTTATTTTATTTTTATTCTTTGCGTATAAAACATCTCGTGAAAATTTTTTTTTATTTTAAATATTAATGAACGGGTACAAATTTGTATTCTTGGTTTGCAATCAATCCCAAGAGAGCACAATAACAAAAGGGATGTCCGCCATGTTGGAAGATATAACAAAAGAATCCATTGAAAAATCTTTTGTCAAATTCTTCCAACATGGCGGCTATGACGTCTATTGCAAACGAAGAATAGGAAATCGCCCGATCTCGAGTACAATTCGAAATTTATAGGTACAAGTGATGTTTTCGGAAAGTTTTCAAAATTGGACCAGCCTTTATCCGAGTTCATTTTGAGAACTTTCAAAACATCACGAGTATCTATAAATTCAGAATGGGACAAGAAGATTCGTGCGATTTTTTAAATTATTTTTTATTTACTCGACAAAACTGAGCAACTAAATTGGGACTACAGAGTACAATTTGGGATTTAATTGTACTCCTCTTGACCAATCAGAATCGAATAATTTTGTTGAGTGTTTTATAAATATAGTATTTGTACTGTATTTGTATATATGCATAAATGTAAACTACAACGTTTATGTAMTTTGTGTGTATACATAAACATATATATACACCTAATTAAAAAAAAAGTCGGGTTCGAAAAAAGGTTATATCGTCAAAGCTAAGACCGAAGGGGAGCATGGGAAGACAAACAATTATGCTAATTTCATGCGTATTGCAGTTTTTCCCTCCTATGCACATTTTATGCATCATGGTTTTGGCATGTTGTTAATCTAGGTCGACCGACTTTGCTCTACTGTGCATTTTTACATGTCTATACGCAAATATATATAATACACATTTTGAAGTACCCAAAATCCTTTTCGGTCTTAGCTTCGATGATATRACCTTCTCGAACCCGACTACGTTTTTTCAATTAGGTGYATATATATCAYATATATATTTACATGCGTTGAGGTATTTGTTGTGTTTTTGTTCGTAATGTTCGGCTCCAATAAGTCCAGATGTAACGGTTASTCACGGTTAATGCTTTATGGATTCAGAGCTCTGGGTCATATAAGTTTTGATATAAATAATGCAGTGTTCAATTATATTTATATATGTTTCTCCTTTGTTTTCGAGCATCTGGTTTTTAACGAAAAACAGTGACTAGGACGATTCCATAATTTTTCCTACTACGACTGCTGATCCTGGATTCCAGAAGTTCATTATTCTCGGTACCCCTGGGTTTGCTGTATTGAGGGTAATTCGCGAGGAGAAAAAGCCTCTGGCGCTCGTCTAAACCTACTCGGCGAAATAGAACCTCTGGAGCTCGGGGAAGGTTGCTGATAACATCTACACGTTTTTCTGTTTAATATATAATCAGAACTGATTGCAATTATATTTACTTTGTACTTATATCGCGCGATATCAGGGTTTGTCCTATGAAAATGCATTGGTCATCATCACCATCAAACGTATAGGGGCAGCTATATCAAAGGTGGCGTTTTGCCCGGGTCCAGAGTCAATTTTCCTCTAACCTCCGGCGTTTAGAACTTTATTCCTTGACTCAGCATCGCGTATGAGTGTAGTTTGTAATAGATATCTCCCTTGATTCCAGGAGTTTTTCTCCGGGTTCACCGTTTTCCTCCCAACACAAACCCTGAGTTTAGAGCTTTATTCCTTGACTCAGCATCGCGTATGAGTGTAGTTTGTAATAGATATCTCCCTTGATTCCAGGGGTTTTCTCAGGGTTCTCCGAGAGAGATGTAAATATTCTTTACAACAGCGTCTGTTTTCTTAGAAAATTTGGCGCATGCGCACATATTTTTTAACCCTGTGCTATGCCTCCAAAGCCGGCTGTACAGAAAACGACATTGCCACTAAACCTGATTAATTCATTCAAAAGCTTGAGATTTGTGCTATAAAGCACCTACGATTAACAGAGAAGAGGCGGTAAGCCGTGTGGGATGGGCTCGGAAATCATCTAAGAGCATGCGTAATAGGTAAATTACGAGYCTTGTTCTTCAGTCGTTTTATACAAGGCTCGTATTTTACCTATTACGCATGTTCTTATACGATTTTAACAGATTACTTGACAATCACTTTACTTTTTCTTTCTTTGCATGTTTTACTGAGTAACGTAGTTAATTATAGTATAGTTTTATTGTCACTGGTCTATAAAAATAAACATTACTAGTCAACATGTAATAGTCAAATAGGCACAAAAGAAAACAATTATGGAGCTAAGGTCTACTAAACTGTGTATTATTTATCAATTGACACGGTTTTCTTTGTTATTCACAAGGCTTTATTTTTGTTATAACCCTCATTATAAATGCGAGGTCAATATATAGTTATTAACCCGGTTAATAACTATATATAGACCGTTCGCATTTATAATGAGCAACATTTGATAGAAAACATTCTCAATTGAGAAATAAAATACTTAATTACCTCGAACGTCGGCAATAAGCCTATACATCCCTCGGGCCTGCGACCCTCGGGATGTATATGGCTTATTGCCTCCGTTCGAAGTAATTAACTCTTACTTAGTCTAATGTGTATTTCACGGGTTTAATGACTTCACTCTAATAAACTCACATCTTATCATAAGACAAATTTTCAACACGTACTATGTCGTTGGAGATTATTCGAAATCTATTATTCTTTACTTTTTTGTCAAATCGTTCATAAAAACTGCTTCCTCGTGGTATTTTCACAAAATAAACTTACAGCAGCGAAAGCGATAGCGGACTGGAGCTTGTACACGATCAGCTTGCCTGATGAGATGGAACCTTGACAAGAAATACCCTTGTGGACACGTGACCGCTTGCCTGTCTAGGAACATGATTGGTGCACCTGAGTACGGCGCCCACGCTGTCTCCCTATCGTTGCAAGTGGTTCGTGCACCATTGATTCTTCTTTCGACGTTTGAAAGGCGTGCCTGTGACGATCCTACCTTCTTTGACAAGGACTGTGAAAAGAAAATCGTTTCAAATTAGTTTGGTGAAGCAGGAGTTAGCAAAGATCGCCTAACACGAACACCGAGTTCATAAACTTAATACACTAATTTAATACACTGTCAACCGTCCCATTTTCACTCCAGCCACATTGCAGTCGTTCTTTGGTTGTTATGTTGCTGTTGTTGTTGCGTTTTTTGTTT